AGACTCATGAAAAGAGCTGGATCTCATAAAAGAGTTATGGTTTTTGGGGAGCCTCACAGAGTCCAAGAGCGTTGCAGGAAGTTCCAGCTGGGCACATGCTGCACATAGTTCCAGGTATGTAAATCCTCTCTTCAACTATGTTTCCACTAAAAAAACGAGAGGGTGGAAACGTGTATTTGAATTACAATAAAAAGACTCACGCAGGACTGTATAGGCATACAGAATGCCATCGGTCATCACATTCTTGAATGGTGCAACCGATTTTATTCGAGTTAGCCCAAGCCATCTGAAAATTATTACCTTATCTAGAGTACTCACTTTATCAATCATTGCTTTCTTACCCTAGTGAAGCTTCTCACACTTCTACTTTGATGTTTAGCCCTGAAATAACAGGATAGCCCAATAGGTTCATCTAGCCTCACTTGTTTCCACCACTCTTTCACACTCTGAAAACGATAATGCTACGCAGTGAAAATGCTATCAAGACTGCTGATCGCGGCCATGGCATCAACTCTAGGGTGCTTCGGCAGATGCAACCTCTGATTTTAAAACATAATGTCTATTCTCTTCATAATATGCGTTGGCGCCGTCAATCCCCTCAGCAGCGCACTCCTCAGCACGGGCACGTGCTTTGAGTTCAAGTTCGCAATCATATCTCTGAAGAGTATGTCTTTGCAGTAAACAAGGGTAGTACTTGGTCCAGTTCTAGACTGACCAGAGACTGCATATTTGCCGCCGCAGGCATGTAGACACCGTTTCTCTTTACAACTTGTCCCTGGGCAAGTACTGATCTGAACAAGACAGCTTTCGAGCAGATGTGGATATTGGTACAGCTTGGTTTAGCAATGTTTTGCTGAATTAATTCGAAAAGTGATATCAAATGTCATTGACACTACTTTTTTCCATCATGCTGGAAAAAACTAACCTGCGCCAGTTGGTCATATCAAGAGCCTTCTTTCGGATCTTGTCGCTAGTACGTATTAGTCGGGCACATCTGGTTGTCTAGAAACAGATTTCGAAATAGAGACACATAAGAATTTTCAAAAACAAGCTCAGGTTTGAGGAATAGTCCAGGAGAACTCACTCGCTGGAGCTACAGT